ACAGAAAGCGAGAAATCACCCCCCAGGGGGGATGGTCACACCGCAATCCCTTCTCCTCCATTCTCCTCTCGGGATCTTGGGCACGCACGCACACGCGCCCGGCGTGAGTTTTAAGCCACCGGGTCCGGGACACGAACCGCGGTCGACTACGTGGGAATCCAGCGACATAGCCATTACGCTAACTGCTGGTTCCCTCTTCCAACATTTTTCATGAACATTAAAGAGTTTGATTTTTAAAAAAAGGTTTGTTTCAATTGTCTTGTTCTAGGATGGTATGGTAGTTTTGGGTGTCAATTTGACTAGACTAAGGAATACCAAAAATCTGATACAGCTTTACTCTGGGTATGCCGGGCGGGGGGGAGGGGTGGGGGGGGTGTTTCCAGAGATTTCTGTGTGAATTTGAGTAGGCTAGGTGTACGATCTGCCCACCTAGCCTACTCAAATTAGGTTCTGTAAGAAATGACAATCAAATTAAAGATCTGGAAAGACAGATGGGCATGACGCAGTCAGCCTAGCGCCCAGAGAGAATAAATACAGAAGACAAATGGGTCTCCTTTGAAAGTGAGCAAGATAGGCTTCTTCCATTTCCTTGGACATCAGAACTCAAGGTTCACCTGCCTTTGGACTCCAGAACTCACACCAGTGCCCCTACACACACACACACACACACACACCATCCTCGCTTTCTCGGGTTTTAAGGCCCAGACTGAGTTACATCGTTGGTTTCCCTGCCTCTGAGGCCTTTGGACTTGAACTGATCCAGCTGCCAGGATCCCGGGACCTCCAGCTGGCAGACAGACTGTTGGACTTCTCAGCTGCCATAATCATGATTATTCCAGGATTATCTTCTGAAAAGCCAAAGTCTTACAGGGGACCTTCTTCATGCATCCTCACACGGAAGAAGAGCAAAAGAGGAAAAGGGGACTCTCCCTCCAGCCCTGTTGTAAGAGTACTAATCCCATCCGCGAAGGCAGAGCCCTTCCGGCCCAACCACCTCCCAAGGATCCCATTTCTTCATGTCATTCTCCTCGGACGCTAAGTTCCACCGTATGAATTTTGCAAAGACACATACATTCAAACCACAGCAGTATGTCTTAGTCATTTATAAAATTAAAAATAGCTTATATTAATTCCAAAAGCAATTAATGATTACTATGCGAAACATAGAAACTTAAGATCAGCCAGAAAGAGAGAGAAGATGAAGAAAAACACAAGATAGGAGAGAGTACTCTCTAATTCTACCACTTGGAAAAGACCATCCCTGTGATTCTGGTGAACTTTGAAAGCACTCTCATTTTTCTATCCCTCTAGGATCTTAATTGTAAACATTCTTTTGAGTATCTTTCCAGATCTTTAATTTGATTGTCGTTTCTTACAGAACCTAATACAGTCCTATATGCATTAGGTACTCAGCAAAAGGATGATAATTAAAAGCCTGGCCAGCTTTTTTTTTCCTTTCATGTGCTGCTGGAGATAATACAGCAAATGCTGCATCATTCTGTTCCCACGTGCGTGCCAAAATGATACTACATCAAGTAACCGAGGCCGTTAAGAAACCATAATATTTACTAAGTCCATGAGCAAATCGCTCCTTAAAGCAGAGGGGCTTCACAAGCCCATTGGCAAGCCCATCGGCAGTGCTTCCGGGTGAAAGAGTTTTTCACTTAGAGCTAAAAGATCTAGGTTTGAATTCCAACTGGGTCATATGATCTCTTTTGCTTCTTTGAGTCTCATTCTCTAATCGATGAAATAAAGGCAATGACCTATGACCTATAAAATCCCTATCTAAAATCCCTATCATTAATATTCTGTGATACATGGAGGGGATCTTCAAAAAGTTCATGGAAAATGTCTATTCTGAAAAAAACTATGCATAGGTTTCCTTTTTTAATTTTCAAATAAAATTCACTTTAATTACATATTTACATTTGTGTAATATAAATACATACATTTGCACTTATATAATGTAATATAAATGTATTTAATTAATTTTGCCCTTTTTCAAGTCCCCTTCATATTTCTATCTATCCAAACACATGCACATACACACATATTTTTTTTTCTTTTTCTTTTTTTGGAGAGGTTTTTACTATAGGGTGCATACACTTGCCAGAAAGACAGAGAGAGACATAGAGACAGAAAGCGAGAAATCACCCCCTGGGGGGATGGTCACACCACAATCCCTTCTTCTCCATTCTCTTCTCGGGATCTTGGGCACACATGCACACGTGCCCGGCGGGAGTTTAAGCCACCGGGTCTGGGACTCTAACTGCGGTCGACTACATGGGAGTCCAGCGACATAGCCATTCCGCTAACTGTTGATCCCTTTTTCTTTCTTTTCGTGGTGAAGAAAGGAGAAACTATGCCTTGAGATGCTACTATAACAAAATCCACTTGTATGTGCTGTATTTTCTGAAAAGCAGAAGTCTTACAAGGAGCCTAGCCAGTTTGTTTTTATGCCTATCACCACTTTCTGCAGCTAAGTTGGAAAAATGAAAAAAGGAAACTCAACGAGCACAACAGAAAAGTAATAAAAGTGCCCATTTCTCTATGTGGCTTTATTATTCCTGTCAGATTCTCAGATGACGGTTGCCATTTTGTCTGAAGCTCCTTTCCTTGAGCCATGGTTTTACACTTTATGGTATCATTTCTGAAACACTCCCCCACTTTCAAGGTTACAAGCTCTCCACTCGCTCTGAACAGTGAGTTCTGGAGAACTTAGCAACCCAAGCAAGAGAGACCCCAATATTGAAACAGGCTGAGCTGGGAAATCACTAGCTCCAGTGTCTGGGTGAAAGGGAGCTTTCGGAGGCTTCCTTCCATCAGTCCCTGAGTCGTTTGTAACCCCGCACCAATTCCTTGAGAGCATTTAAGAACTGAGCTGTTCCCAGTGTGATCTGGGCAACGCTGAGGTGCCTCTTTGCTTACATGGAGGGGAGGTTAGGTTAGGCAGGGTGGGGGGAAACTGAGGGAGCCGTGCTTGGAACACCCTGCTCCTGGGACGTTTGCTCACTCGAGTGCATCGAGACAGATCCACCCTAGGACCAGTCCACAAAAATCACATATGTCATTTTCCAGGCTCCCCCAAAAAGGTAATAAACAAATAAACATTCTTCTGCAATATCATAGGCAGCAGTTCTCAGGGGGGCTAGAGAGCGTGGTACATCGGGATCACCAAGTTAACTCTCGCCCGTAAACCATCCCTCAGGAACAGTCTCCGGAAGGTCAAGCCAAATTGTCATTTAATCAGAAAATTAATGATAAACCCTTCCCTCGATAGTATCTCAGTTAATAAGAAGGAATGATGAAAACAGAAAATCACCATGCAGCAAACGCCATGGTTAACGATGGCCATGCTGTGGACGATTAAAGGACGCTGGAGTTTGAGAAAGAAAAGCCGCTCAGGGCCATCTATGGAATGGGCGGCCCGTTCACATGGAGAGCCATGAGCCTGAGGCCGCGGCTATGCACCGCACCCGCCGGGTTACGGCTCACAAGGCACGTTTTATGTTGCAATAACCAAATTGAAGTAAATGGCTCTAGATTTGTAATGTGACTCCCCACACGCTTTTCACGTCGGTGATTGCAGAATTCATCATATAAAGAGTGAGGGACAGCCAGCCAGTTGCCTGTGCTATGTTAAATGGACCATTGTGAATCCTTGACATGTTAACAACGTGTAACCTCCCGTCTTCTTGCCTTTCTCTTTGTTACCTCAATTAGCTCTCTCTGCAGCCACTTCAGTGTCCACCTTCTGGGCAACTACAAACTGTGTCACGTGGGCTCAGC